ACATATCGGCCGATATCACGCTTCATTCCCGGCCACCAATATTCTTATCTCAAATTGTAATACATCTTTGTACTGCCCGGATGCACGGACATCCGCGACTTATGTGCTTCAGATAATACTAATTCCCGAATACCACCAAGTTTTGGAATCCAAACATGGTCCTTGAAGACTTTAAGTCCTCGACTATCATCTATCAGATATGAAACATAACCAACTATACGCTCTGGTTTCACACGATCAGGCTTCAAAGCCTCTACTTGCCATTTCCGTATGTTGTCAACTAGTGTGGATGTCACGGACGTATGTRTAATAGCATAACACATGGAGTTTGCATAAGTCTTCCGGCTTAAAGCATMTGCAACAACATTAGCTTTACCTGGATGATAGAGAATTTCACATTCATAGTCTTTAATCAGTTCCATAGCTCGTTATTGACTCATGTTCAAAGTCTGTTGAGTGAAGATATACTTCAAACTCTTATGATCTGTGAATAGTTGACATTTAGTACCATATAAGTAATGACGCCATAATTTTAGTGCAAAAACGACCGCTGCCAACTCAAGATCATGAGTTGGATAGTTATTTTCCTAATCTTTCAACTGTCTTGATGCGTATGTAATTACGTTGCCTCGCTGCATAAGAACACAACCGAGACCCAATTTAGAAGCATCGCTGTAAACTACCAAGTCGTCACTACCTTCTGGTAAAGCTAGAACAGGAGCATTTGACAAACAAAGCTTTAACACCTGAAAAGCATTCTCTTGAGCTTCACCCCATTCAAACTTGTCATCTTTTCGGGTCAACAAAGTTAAAGGCACGACAATTTTAGAGATATCTCGTATGAATCGTCTATAATAACGCGCGAGTCCAATAAAACTACGAATCTCAGATGCATTCTTAGGTTGCTCCCAATTCTTTACAGCTTCAACTTTGGACGGGTCAACTGACAATTGCACCTGACGTAGCCAAAATTCACATTTCGAAAATTTAGCACATAGACGCTCTTGTCAAAGTGTTTCAAGCATCTCACACAAATGCTTCACGTGATCTGCTTCAGATTTGGAATATACAAGAATATCGTCTATAAACACGATCACATATTTGTCCAACATTGGCCGGCACACGCGATTCATCATATCCATGAACGCTGCAGGTGCATTAGTTAAACCGAATGGCATAACTAAAAATTCATAGTGGCCATAACGTGTACGGAAA